CCGTTTGGATTTTATACGATATTCATGTTGACGCAGTCCACAGGACTTCCTCCCTCGTTTCGGGTGAAAATGTGCTGAGCTTTCGTCCATCATTCGTTGGACATCCTCAGAGCTAGGTGTCATTCTTGTAAAAGGCTTTCGTTAACAATAGGCCAAGAAGACTATCCGGCTTTATCTTACCTCTTATATAGACTCAGTTAAGCCAAAAGAAAATTAAAAATTAAAAACCTAGATGGCTAAATATATTTCATAATTGTCCTGCTACTTTTGCTCGAGTGTATGCGGGTGTGTGTTAGCGTCTATACGCAATACCGGTCCTAAAGCAGATTTATCAAAAGGTTAAAGTTAGGCTCTGATCATCAAGGCCTAATGACCTCAAAGAAAGCTCTGACTGCGACTGCGTAAGTCCGTATGCAAGAATGGTTGAGATAATGAGATATGAGTTTGTAAGCATGAAAATCAAGTTACGGAACTACTTGTCCTAGCCTTTCAGTCTAAGGTCATTAACGTTTAACCCTCAAGGTAAGACTGCGGTTGCGTAATCTGACATATCTGGTTTGGTTGATGGGACGAGTGTGAGTGAAGTTAGAACCATTACCGAGCAGACAAGTTAAATCGCCTTCTTTTGGATGGCGGATCAAAACACCCTCTCTCTCCTTCAATCCATCAATCAAGCATGAATAGTTCCTACTAAACTTTCTACCTCTGTTCCTCACAATCAACGTATTTCCTATGCTATTAATTTCAATAGCCCCTTTTATCTTTCTTTTAACCACATATGTACCATAATCAGCAGACCTAGTTTGAGACCATTTTATTTCATGTCCAGCTTCTACCATGTGTTCGGTCACTTTTGACTGTTGGATCCAGCTACCTTTGCAAGCATTTTTGTGTTCTTTAACCTTTTTAACTCTGATATTTAGGACCGGTATTGCGTATAGACGCTAACACACACACGCATACACTCGAGCAAAAGTAGCAGGACAATTATAAAAGATATTTAGCCATCTAGGTTTTTAATTTTTAATTTTCTTTTGGCTTAACTGAGTCTATATAAGAGGTAAGAAAAAGCCAGATAGTCTTCTTGGCCTAGTGTTAACGAAAGCCTTTTACAAGAATGACACCCAGCTCTGATGATGCCCAACGAATGATGCACGAAATCTTAGCACATTTTCACCCAAAACGAGGGAGGAAGTCTCGTGGACTGCATCAACATGAATATCGTATAAAATCCAAACGGCTGCAGTGCAACGAGATTCGTCCATCCTCATCTAGTGAGATCGATCAACGAATCCCTTCTTAATGTACTTTCATACAAAATGAAGGTCTCCCTAACAATGTAATCTCAGGAGATTCATCGAAAACAAGTTTCTCTTCGTATCTACAATGTTAAACTTATGTCATGATTGCCAGTAATTCCTCGAATATTCCTGCTTGTCTAGTATTCAAGGTGCATAGATTCCAAGTTAAGTCCTACAAATATTTGCCTACTTGGTATACATTTTTTTTAATTTTCTGCCACTTTAGCGTTCACTATTGCTAGCTGCCATCCGCCAGCACAACGCTTATACGCAGGATGCCATGGCAGGCCAGGCTATTGACCGCCATTTGATGGGCCTCCGCCTAATTTCTCGTGAATACGGTATAGAGTCTCCCTTTCTGGATGACCCTTTCTTTTTCAACGACCAGACCTACGATAAAGTCGTTCATTGGACTCTATCAACCAGTCAGGTAAGGAGATGACTAATTTCACTTCCACATTAAGACAGCTTTAGGATAACTTACTTGCTGTGCTTTCTGGGGGTTCTTATTTCATTGGATCCTTTAAATGATAATTTTCGTCGCATTTTGTTTTTAAAGCTAGGCGAAAATAATGGTTTATATTTTACCTTTTCCAACGATGTTTTCGCAACTTTATCATGTTCTTACGGGGACTTCGATGAACATACACTGTCTGGAATCTTCTGTAATAGTATTCATAATAATATCTAGCTTCGGAAATTGGGATGCTCCAAGTCCACAATTCGCCGCCATGCCATCTTGACCTTCGATTGAACTGTTCCATTTTGTGTCGTCAAGTGTAGCCGTTGTATTGTTTTGTCTTCTATCACAATCCTAAATCAGTTTATGTTGGGTTAGCTTTCATTTCGTTTAGAGGCGAGTGGAAGAGATTCATAAGTTGGTTCCACCGGAGGCTGTCGGGGGGTTGCCTTGGAGCTGTGGTTGTAGATTTGTGCGAATAGGCCCTCGGCGCATCGCTCTGCGACCTCAAAGTATCCTTGCTGAGCTTTCGTCAGTCATGTGACGGATATCGTCAGAGCAGGACACCATGGTTATCGATAATTCATCAAAAACACGAAGCCGTTGATTCTGAAATATTACCGCATGTGATTTCGTTCCATTGCAGATGTGTTTTGTCAGTGCATTGCTCATGAAATGATTGCAATGTGAGAGTCAAAACCAAATTTCAGTCTAATCAAGCCTGCTCCTCTAGCTCGGTAGCACTTCTCATTCTCCCTTTCTCTCTTCATAATCCTATCCAACAGCCACAAGTAGTTTCCAGTACTATACTCATTCCTTCTATTCAGAATGCTGGCTATTTTGTTGATTTCTATCGCTTCCCTAATGTTTCACTTACTGGTATAGTCTCCATATCCAGCTAAGTGTTTGGCATTAGACCAATCTATCTGGTTTCCTGTGCGAGCCAAGTGTTCGACCAATACCGATTTTTGGACCCACATACCTTTGCAGGATGTTTTGTGTTCGGATAACCTCTTATGTGTGAGTCTACAGGTCTCTCCCACATAGGCACTACCACATAAATACAAAATCTTGTAACAGCCCGATCTGGAGAGCGGGTCGGAGTATTCTCGAAAAGAAGGCAATACTGAGAACAGTTCTATTTTCTCATTATAAATGGTCCCGATATCTTACCTCTTTGACAGGTTACACGATGGCAGCATAAGGATCCTGGTTGAGTGATCTATTTTGTTAAATAGCTCCAAATATGTATTTCCTTTCATTCTATTTGACAATATTCTAAAATAGTTGCCAACCAACCCTTCTTTATAATTATTTTTGACCAGAATTCGCTTTAGTATCCTCAGCTCATGGTCCTGATGTTTATATCTGCCAGACGCAGGCTCCTTATTATCATAAACTAAATAACTCATACTTTAACCCCATAAGTGTGGTTGGAGAAGAAATTCAAAAGGAGATCTGCATTTGTGGGTTTCCTATACACATCTATATCTAATATGGTCCCATCTTCGCTAGCTAGGACATCAAGAAAAAGTAAACCACCTTCCTTTTCTAACTTGATGGTAAATTTCATCTTCCCATCGATCCTGTTCATGAAAACAAAGAAAATTCTCTTGGTTTTATTTTCCATGTTGCCAAAAAGCGGCGCGCCGAGGAGCTATTCACACAAATCTACAATCTCAGCTCCAAGGTAATCCCCCTACAGCTTCCGGTGAGACTCTCTTACAAATCCCTTCCACTTGCCTCTTCAAACGAAATGACAGGTACTACAACATCGAGCTCTTAAGGGATTCTTCGAAACTCAATTTTTATTCCC